ATAATTATGACGAACAAGAAAAAATAAATTTAATGATTGACAATTTAATTTTTCATTTATTTTATAATTAATATTAAATTGTTTTAAAATATGTTGACGAAATTCAAAAAAAAAACTTGGTGCTATTCTTCGATATTTTGTAATATCAATCTCAGATTTTGATTGTGGTTGAGACCAAATTAATTCATGATAAAATATTGATGATAAATTTTTTAAATGTCCTAATCTTGTATATGAATGAAACATTTGTGACCATAATATATCTAAATTTCCTTTTGGATGTGCATCAAGAAAAAGAATTCGAACTGATTTTGGATTTCTTTGAAAAAAACAACATAAAAGATAAACTGTATAAACATCTGTTATAGTATGATAAACATTAACATAATCTTGACGATTAACAGCTATTGTTGTTTCATAAATTGTATGTGTCTTTTGAGGTAATCTATAAGAACTTATTGCAGAAAAAATATTTGATAAATGACCATCAGGAATTCTATCATGAAACTCTTGAATATCACATGGAAGCTAAAAAATAATTTTTTGTTTTGTTTATTTTCTAATAAGAAAAAGAAAACGATTTACTTTGACAAATTCTTTTTGAAAGTGAAAATATTCATCTTCTTCAGGTTGATTTAAAACATCTTGAATATTTTCACCACCTAATCGTTTTCCTTGAGCAAATTCAGGTTGTAAAATAATCGAATGTGTTATTATAAATAATTTATTATAAACAATTAAAGATGAATTACATAATTTTATTTGATTTTGACACCATTGTTCTAATGGATCACCAGAACAATTTAATATTGGTTCATTAAATAGTAATAGACTTTTGTTTTGAAGAATAGTTTTATTTGTAATTTTGAATGAAAGATTAATGGACGTAATTTGTATGTTAAGAAACCAATACCAACAGAGAATAATGAAAATTGTATAGAATAAATATTGTCGACAACGACGATTCAAGAGCATTGAACAAGATTTGATGAACATTGAAACTGAAACATTTCATTAAAAGAAAAAGTTTGAAAATGTTGAAATATTTTTGCGTTATGTTGAACAGAATTCGACACATTAAATATGCACATCTTCAAGTCATTTTCGATCAAATATTACTGGAAAGAATAGATCTTTGTGTTTATAAACACAAAAAATATTGAATATTAACATAACTATTTGAATCACATGATCCTACTTTTTTCTTTAATATCAAAAAAACTTTTGAAATTCTCATCTCATTTTTAAAATTATTGTCCATGACTCTGTGATTGTATAATATTCACTTTCTACGAAAATTTCATTTTTTTAATGCTCGAATAAAGTCACGTGAGGCCATATTAATTGAATATAGGCAAGACCATGAGGACAACTCATTTTACTAATTGAAGGTTACCTATCATTCACACTCGTTTATGTTTGATGTTATCACGACAGAAAAAAAAAATTTTCTTTTTTTAATATCTAATTTGCGTTTGATAATTAAACATCCTGAATCTTACCTTGCTGCGTTTATGTGCATCTGAGAAAATTTCATCGAAAACTACATAATTCGTTTCTAAATGGAATATAACTATGAAATTCATTTAGAATTGAAGTTAATTACTATTTGATACAATTGTATCAATAAAATTTTCATTACCAGATTTGATATTATTTTTATAAATGTATGTGATATACTGCAAAAAACTTTGAGTTTTCGCTGGAATTTATATAATATATTGTACAAAACTCTTGAAGTTGTTCTTTCATGAAATTGACATTGTCTAACATGGCTGTAGTATTTTTTTTTTTGTCAATCTTTCATAGTAAGACGAAGAAAAATGCAAACAAAACTGACGTACCTCAAAAAAAAAAATTTAGAAAGAACTTTTAACAATCTAACAACCAGGAATTTAACATTCGACATCATGCTTTTAAGATATATAATACCTGCAAGATGCGATGAAAAAAAAACAGAAGTCTGACCTTAGAATTCATCGAGCACTATTTACATCCGATCTATTAATTAATTCTAATAAAACAGTTTCATTAAAATTAACTTATCGAAGATATCATAGTTGGCTTCAATGAGCACAAGTGTAAACATTTTGATTTTAATAATCAAAACTCTTTCTTGTCGTCTATTAAAATTTAATCACTAGTATAGTTATGGTTTTCTTTCTATTAGAAAGAAGATTCATTCTTAATAGACAAAGCAAATTTGCGATGTACACTTACATTTAGATAAATATAACAAAAATATACTTATATTTCATCTATAAACGATTTAAACATTTTCTAATGACTTCTGAAGACACGTATATGAATAATATGCTGACTTTCAGATTATTTAGTTATGAGACAAAATAATTTAAAATTTCAATGTTATCAAGACAAAAAATTTCTTGTGAAAGGTTCAACGATAGATTATGCTGTATGTCTTCCCAGTGAAAAATATCAAAAAACGGCAAACAACGCGTTCCAAAATCGAACGGTTAAGAATGCGTTCTCGCCCTTAAGAAATGTTTTCTTTTCTTAAAAAAAAGGGTTTTTACGTTCGCGGAACGCATTCTTGATCATTACAGTTTAAAATGATGAAAAACATTCTCCAAGATCAACTTTTCCTATGAGAATCTCTGAGTAGTTCCAAATCATTGACAAAAATCTTCAAGGAATACTTGAAAAGCTAGATAAAAAAAACGAAGAATCCTTGTAGATTGCCTAGGGGCTACGATCTAGCTCCTAGGCAATCTGCAAGGATTTTTCATTTTTTTTGCCTAGCTTTTCAAGTATTCCTTGAAGGTTTTGTCAATCATTTGGAACTACTCAGAGATTCTCATAGGAAAAGCTGATCTTGAAGAGCGTTTTTCAACGAAAGAATGTAAGAAGGTATTTATTAGATTTCTATGCCTACACAGAAACTCTTAACAACGATAAACCGGGATGTTGCTCAATCTACCAATAAAATTTATATATCTTATCTAAGAAGCATATCCTTATCTGAAACAAATTCAATAGACAAAATATTTCTCTATCTACTCAATCTGGAATAATGGATCACTGTCTATAATTAAACTCCACGGAACAAAACTGATTGCTTCTATTAAGATGGAATAAAAACTAAAGGAAAACTATCTCTAACTCTACTAAATAGAAAAATTATTGTTTTTAATAAGATGGAATGAAAACTAAAGAAAAACTATCTATATCTCCACTAGATGAAAAAAAAATGATTTTTCTGATTAAAATCAAGTAAAACTAAAGAAATACTAACTTTATTTATATTGAATGAAAAAAAAATGACTATTTGTATTAAGATCGAATAAAACTATAGGTAAACTAACTCTATCTCTCCTAGATAAAATAAATGACTACTTCTATTACGATAGAATAAAAGCAAAAGAAAACTAATGGCAAAGTATACTAATTCGTCAATTATTTTATTTAGTTTTATTCAAAAACAATAGTGAAGCCTTGTACCTATACACAAGGTCATTATCAACACAAAATGATAGAAAGTGGAAAATGTGTACAAAATTGTTCTTTTCTTTTGTTCTGTTCTGACCATTGATAAATATTTCAATAAGGGGGGGGGGGGGGGGGGAAGGAGGATAATATTTCGAACGCACTGCAATGTTCATCAATGGTCAGAATAGAATAAAAGAAAAGAATAGAACAATTTTGTACATATGTTTCACTTTCTAGCATTTTGTGTTGATAATGACCTTATTGTAACGATAAATAAGGGGGAGAGAGAGATGTTATGACAGACTGGAGGAGTAGCTAGCCGCTACTCGGCAATGATGTGTATTAGCTACTTCACATCTCCAGAATGTGTCTATTGCACATTCAACACACACTTATATATGATACAGAAACAAAGGAGAGAGATGACACCCAGAACACTGGGAGAGAGATGACACGCAGAACAATGGGAGAGTGAAGGAAAGGAAAGAAGAGGAGCAGCGTACCGTGACGCATATATCGGCACACTTATGTATACGTACAAGACTTCACTATTGTTCTTGAATAAAACTAAATAAAATGATTGACGAATTAGTATACTTTACCATTAGTTTATCTTCTTATATCTCGTCGAATAATATAAATAAACGAAAGCTAACTCCAACTGTACCAGATAGATGAAAAAATGACTATTACTATTAAGGTCGCATAAAATTAGAAGAACACTAGCGCTATGTCTATTAGGTGGAAAACATGATTATTTCTATTAAGATGAAATAAAACTAAAGAAACACTAATTTATCTCTATCAAATGAAAAAAATGATTATTTTCGTTAAGATTGAATAAAACTAAAGGAATTTTTAAAGAAATGATTTTTTTTTTATTAATATCGAAAATAACCGAAAGGACACTAATTCTCTCTTTACTACTTAGATAAAAGAAATGATTGTTTCTATTAAGATGTAATAAAACTGTATGGGCAATACAATACAAATTGTGAAAAAATCTTGTTAAGTTCATCAAAGAGAAGAATTGTTGTATACTCGTTTACCGAACGACTCTAAATTTTTCTAGAATACTTCTTATTGTTGCACATTGTTTGTGTCTATTTTTATTGTTTTTATCAGTGTATTGTAAATAAGACTGTCACGATATCGACAGCTAAAAGCTCAACGTTGAAAACAGATGTTGATAAAAGAACTAAGAGTTATGATGATAAGTTTTTATGTAGAAAACAATGAGAAAAAAATTTAATATATTTGAGAACGCTGACGAATCCATTGGGAGCTAATCAATATTCTTTCTCAATATAACGAGATAATTTTATGTAGGTTATGAAACGGACGAGAAGGTGATCTGTATTTTTAAAACTGATTTTTGAATTCACGAGAAAGCATTCGACAATTAGAATAACGACAGAGAACGTGTTCTTCTCTCTCTAAGAATGATGTTGGATTGTCTGGAACGCGTTCATCAGTTCCTGACTGTTTCAAAAATGAACGGTTCAGAAAGTTTTCTCTTTAGATGAAGAACGAGTTTGAACCGGAAAGAAACCATTCCATAAAAACGTGAAACGATAAAGAATGCGTTCTTTCAGATGCATAACTTATTCTTGTCGCTCATGAACGCATTCACCAAACTATAGAACGTGTTCTTCATGGGAAAGGTAACCTTCCATGTTTTGCTGAATGCGTTTACTGCTGTTTTTTTCCATGATCATTTTTCACTGGGATATCTATTCGTATGATAATTTGATATCCGTTGTTAACCAATATTGTCAAGCTGCACTAAACTCACTACTTACCTTATCCACAAATGATAATAATTGAAAAATATTTTTAATTATATGAAATATTTGTTTATAAATACACACTTTTACTAATATATTTAATACAAACAGCGTCAACCTGCTTCGTTCTTTTCTTTTTTGTCCTGATTGTATCCTGTCTCACATGTTTCATGGTGCGCAAGAGAAAGAGAAGTATACCCTCTAAATTTATTTGTGTCTATTTTTTTGCGCTCTTTTTTTTGGTTTTCATACGGATAATTGCAATAATCATCAAAATAACTTCGACTCAAATTTTATCCTACTAATAAAACGATAGAAAGAGCGAAAAAAAGATACCAATAACGATGACTATGGCCTACAATGAAGAGTAGCAACAAAAGAACAAATGATAATATTGACGTCGAATACTGTGTTGTTTGTTAAACCACACTTTAGTCGATAGACTTTTCGTCAAAGTAACTTCGTCGAAAAATTTTTGTTGAAATTTTTTTACAGAAAAGCATTTCGTCGACAGGGTGTGGGTGTGAGTGTGCGTATGAGTGTCGATGTAGGTGTAGGTGGGTATGGATGTCAGTGTGATGTAGATGTGGGTGTGGGTGCGTTGTGTGAGTGTCGATGTCGAACGAAGACCTTGATCCACACCCACACCCACACATATTCACACCCACCCATACCTACACACCCAAAATCCATCATGCTATAGTTAAATGTTTTTTGATATGCTGCGTCGACGAAATC